TTTTCAACCCCCCCCGCACGGGGTTCAGGGGCTTGGAAATTGAGCCAGATTTAACGCCAAAGTGTGCTCCCCTTTGCGGGGGGGGGAGTTGCCGGCGGCGCCGCCTACTGCTGCACGGAGTCGCAGTGCAGTTTCAACCTCCACCAAATCAATGCTTTCGAATTCCGCTAGGGAGATCCGCCACAAGTCCCACCTCGAGCACCCGCTCACCTTGCTGGCGGAGCCGCCGTACAGCGAGGGGTTCACGTGCAACGCGTGCCTGAAAGAGGGCAAGGCGTTTACCTACACGTGCGCCGCGTGCTCGTACGATCTGCACATAGACTGTGTCCAGTGGCCGGAGAAGGTGACCCGCTCGGACCACAAGCACACACTGACCCTGTACTACTCGTCACCAGCGGCGGCGGCGGCCACGGCGGATCAGGAGGTGACTTTCATGTGCGATGTTTGTATGAACCCGGTGCACGAGATGGCGTGGTTGTACCAGTGCCGTGAGTGCAATTTTGGGACACATCTGGAGTGTGTGACTTCTGCAGTGAAGCAGCAGAGTACCGCCGGCAGCAGCGGCGGCGGTGAGGCAAAAACTGAAGAGGTAACGATCACGGAAGCTGAGCTCAAATTTGCTGTTCTTCAATTTTTGCTCGAAGCCCAAGGCAGAAAGGCCGCTCTCGATAGTATTTGAATTTTATTTATTTGATGTAAAGTCGCAATTGATCAATATCGTGGACGTGTTCGATATAAATATGGGGTGTGCACATTTTTTATATATTATTGATCAGTTGAGTTTAGAACTGTGTATGGGTGAAAATCGGATGAGTCGAATCCGAAGTAACACTTTCGGGAAAATTTTAATTCCGTTCCGAAAAAAATTGAAAAAATTGGAAATCTACATTTTGCAGAAAATGTAATTATGAAACTTGATTCTAGAATCAAAAGCATTTCAGATCGGAGTCGGAATTCGGAAATTCTATTGTTTTTGTCACCTATAACATTATATAATAATATTTATAGAGAAAACATATAATAATATTTATATTATAAGTGTAATTTGTGAATAAGTATGATCGGAAGTTTCCGGAATTGAAAACGGATTGGTATTGGGAATCTTATATGTATTGCAATCACGTCAAAAAAATAGAAAAACCAAAAATTGGAACTTTGGTAATTGAGATGAAATGTTATTCCAAAAACAAAACAAAAAAAAATCGTCTCGAAATTGGCATAATTCCAAAATTCTGCAAAATTATTGTTTGCGAGTTAAAGTGAGCTTAGCTGTGTCAACTAAATGCGCAAGTAAGACAAGCCAAAATTTTAAATTTAAATAAAATAAAAAATGACAGAAAGATATATGCATTTTATAAGCAAGTCAACTCATAATTTCTAAAGTCAATGCTCAATGCTCATTAGAGTCTAGACAGATGACTGATTCAACTCCCACCTTGTGAAGAATCTCGTAATGTTGGCATTCACATACTTTATATCCAATTTGCTTAACAATGTTTGACAAAAATAAAATAAAAATAATAAACAATAATAATAATAATAATAATAATAATAATAAATAGTATACATCAAATTTTGATCCCAGCAAAACACATTCAACTTCAACAGAAAAACCAAGAGAAAAGTAGAAATGGAGTTGAGGCATTTCAGCCACAATCACGGCATGGTTTTCCATCAGGTTGTTCAAGGATCTGAAATTCACTGCTCCGGCTGCAAATCTGCCGGCTCAGGCAACGTCTACGTTTGCTGGCAGTGCAGTTACTTCCTCCACGAACACTGTTTTCGTTCAGAACGATCTCTCAAGCACCCGTCTCACCCACTTCATCCTCTAACATTGGTACCTTCTCCTACTTACCCCTCC